AAGGAATGTTTTGTTGTGGAAACAGTGACAGTATATGTTAGGAACACACGGTTGGTAATATTTTGAGATGACTTTTTAAAAGCGTGGAAAAATAAATCAAAAAAGGTCACTAAATCAGGTCTACTGATTTATAAAATTTAGCCCGTGCGTTATACTTAATGAAGACACGCAGCCTTGTCCTTATGTAAGCCAATATTACCTCTGATATTCTTCAAAGAATGCAATATAGATAATAAACAACGATTATTCAATGAACATGGCATTATGAATAGCTCTACTGGCATATTTTTCATGATGCACGCAATTGCTCATAATCGCATGTTCACTGAAAAAAAATGTTCATTTCTTAAATAATTGATCATAATAACACTCACAATCCATCATCAGTTTGGACTGGTAGGGTTTTTTTAGGACAGCCTTCAGGAAAATGTAAACATGACTGGTTGTTTAAATATCCAGATTGTAGTACCATGCAATTTCCTGAAGATCAAGAATTTAATCAAGTATGTTAACAGTACACATATGATATTTATTCGTGGCTAAAAACATATGTAATTTGATTTATTGAAATTTTAAACTCAAAAAATTAAAATTGACTGTTTGACAAATATAATAGAAGAAACTATTCAAGATAAAACAAGAAGGAGTGCATTTTGATTTCAATTGCTACTTAGTAGTTTTTTATAAGAATGTATAAAGGATTTTTGTTGAATCCAAATAATATGCCTATTAAATAGTTCTTTTTTGTTTTCAAAGTCAGTTGGTAATTATAAAAGAAAGTTTTTTTTACCCTTTTCGATCAAAAAGCTGGTAAAGTAGCATAGTTCTACAAGTTGAGATAAGTCAGACAATGGCAGACAATGATACGTGTTTTCAAACTTGTCAAATCCCGAACAGTTCAGTCTTTTGGTTGCATATTCAACTTCAGATACATTCACCGGACACCTGTCTACTGGAAATACAACTCCCTTAGATTGAATTTTGGTCATCTGTTAAAAATAGATCAAAATTCAGATCATGCATCCCATAGTAACACCTGACAATTTTTTTAAAATTTGCACAGAAGAACAATGACTATTTAATATCATTATGCTTCCTGTCAGTTTGTCTTTATATAACACATATCCATCTTTTCTAACATAGTGTTCTAAGAATTTATAAAGCGTAAGCATAGTATGCCAACATAGTGCACGGCTTCCATTTATGAAGAAAATCCGACAATGCCTATTCCGGGGAGCGACCTCGCGACACCGATATTGTTAGTCCAAAGCACAATCGATTACGCCACAGAAGCACTTATCTATAATATTTTATTACAACATTTATAAACATATCTCATTTATATTATATTATATCATATAATATTTAACACGTAAGAAAAAAAATAAACAAAATATTTCTTCTAAAATAGTTTCCTTCAACCCCCTCCCTTCACTCCAATTCTATTCTCTAAAACTATCTGTAGATTATACCTCAGGTATGGAATGTTCAAAACTAAAGAAAAAGATCATAACCTACATGTTGTACAAGGTGACGTCATAATAGAATAGAGGAATGTAACAGATGATGACAAATTGGGAAGGGAGAAAATGATACTTATTCTTACAGTAACAACAGTCAGCATAATAATAACAATGGTATTGTGTTTTGTTGCACTTTTCCTAGATAGTAGTCAGCCTCCGGCTCGTGCACCATGTGTCAAATCCTGACTACTATATAGGCATATTGCACGCAAAACACAACACTATTAGATAAGTTTTAATATACAATTTTATTAATGATTACAATCAAACAAATAATATTTCTTAATGTATGGCCAGTCATCAATTATCATTAATATAATAGAGAGTTTATTGCTACAAACCTAAAAACTCTGCAAATCGAGCTCCAAAAAATTATAGACTCATTTTACACATCATTTTGTAAGCTTAATTGTCAACACAATGACAAATTCAATTTTTCATTTAGTCAAATGTTGACTGACGTTTATCATACACTGCACTAATTGTTAGTCTTTTATTCATACACTAAATTGACGACGGATTTTCCCATTATTTCCCGATTATGACAAAAAACACACGGCACTCAACTTTTTTAAGGAATGTCAAAGTTCACATTCCTGGTACACCCTATTGTAAGTTGATTGTGACGTCAATGAAATTTAACAAGCCACAAAAAGTAATTTACGACATGATGATGCGGAATTAAAAACTTGAATTGATGAATTTTATCAAGTATTTATAAAATTTTGTAACATTGCAATACTTGATAGTAGGGATGGCAATCTATTACAGAATTGCTAGTCGGTTAGCCGCAAGACGTTCCAACCGATTAACCGGTTAGTCGTATCAAGATGGTCATACATTTAGACATTTCTTCATATACACAAGAAGGTTATAAGACTTTATAATTTTCATTCTGTTAATCATCTTGATCGGGATATTTTATGAGCATAAGAGTATATATTATTTTAATTTCATTATACAAGAAAAAAAATGAGGAAAAGCACGAATCTTTAGAATCAGTCACGGTTATTTTTCCAACGCAAACGTGAAAAGTTAATTTCGCATTGTCACCATGATCAAAACTCTCTCTGTATTTACATCGCTTTTTTGTAATATAATTTGATAGAGAACGTCAAAATACATAAACATACTAATTCAAAGTGCTAAATGGTGATGTTTTTACTATCATTAAAAAATCACATGCAGGGCAGTCGGGGTAACAACATCATGTTTTAAAGACAGCAATTAACACTTTACAAACTGACCAATTACCCTGGGACATCAATCAGGAGAGCTATAAATACCTCCAAATTTCTTAATTACAAAATATGTTTAAAAAGCTAAATGGACTTTGATCAATGGTTTCCTTTCTAATAAGTAAATTTTAAGAAATTATATTCAATTTACATATATTTTTTTTATTTTTCCGACTAACCGATTACGGATTTTCTAACCGATTAGCATCGTTTCGACCGATTAATCGATTAACCGGTTAAGAATTGCCATCCCTACTTGATAGCAATACAGTAAAGTAGAAAAAGAAAGTCTTTTGTCAAATATGACGTCATAAGCCTTGACGTGACGCATCAGAGGTGTTGCAGAGGACTAGATTAACAGGTTTAATAATAACTAGAATGATTAAATAAATATGATATAATCGGTAATTTTGAAATCTAATCTTTAAAACGTAAAGAAAATAATCTATTGAATACAATTTGTATAAAATACGAACTTATGTAGTAGAACTGGGTCTGCACAGGGACACGGAAAGTAGAGAATTTCGCTAAAACGATTAGCGTAAAGCTGATTTACATCAAAAGTGCAAGGGCATAGACTATTTTGTTTGAGATGAAATTTGGAATATTTATTGCTTATATAGTGTATATTTTTAACAGTGCTGAGAACTTATCTTTGTCTGCATAACTTTATTTATATTTCTAACAGAATTTGAGCGAAATTTGAAATTTTTAGATATCATAAGCATTTTCGGCAAATTTTCAGTATTTCGCAAACAGCACAGACGTGCTCCCAGCACTTTTAAGCAGAGGAAATAATCATCTTTTAATGTGTATCAATTTTTTCTTGAAAAAATGCATATGCCCTTGCACTATACACATTTCTTACATGCAACTGAACAAGTCTATTTTTATACAAGTCACGTGAAGAACAGCTGATACATGCGATATAACTGGTAATAACTACCGCCCAGTCCTATCTATTATTGATAGCTATATTACATTTTCTACAAGTATTCTGTTGCTATGTTACAATTTTTAAAAGAAGTAATGCACATTAAAACAGTGCAAAGGTCACATTTTCATTATCGGTTCTTAACATAGCTGAGTGGGTGTGATCGTTCGGCAGAGGGTGCTCATTCCCCATACCACCAACTGCTCCTGTTTTGTATTGTTTGATGGTCTTTTGATCTTGAATACAGTTTGTTATCTCCATAGGTTTTATGCTATCGGCAGAGTCTCTCCAGCTAAAATATTTCCAAGTTAAGAAACAATTATGTAATATAAAAAAAAATCCGACGATCTTTTCATATGTGTACTTTTTAAAAAACTTATTGGGTATACATACACATTCAAAGTATATAATCCAAAAGAAAACTTTCCAGTTTATGGTCACTGCGTTATGGAACGAATTACACATATTGAACCTGATCCTACTGCTATGTCCTGATGGTTTGCATTGTCATAGCTGATTATACCCGCACTTTCGAAAGAAAGTTCGGGTATATTGTTGTTACTCATGTCCGTCCGTCCGTCCGTCCGTCCGTCCGTCTGTCACACTTTTCTTCCCTGAACTCCTCCTACATTTTACACAGTAGCTTAATCATCCTTTGGGAGATGGTTGGGGGTGTCATGTAGATGTGCAGTAAGGTTTCGGAATTTTGATTTTGCCCTGGGGGATCAAATGGGGGTCGAAAAATGACGTTTTTTATACAAAAAGCCCCTTCTTCCCTGAACTCCTCCTACATTTTTCACAGTAGGTTAATCATCCTTTGGGAGATGGTTGGGGGTGTCATGTAGATGTGCAGTAAGGTTTCGGAATTTTGATTTTGCCCTGGGGGATCAAATGGGGGTCGAAAAATGACGTTTTTTATACAAAAAGCCCCTTCTTCCCAGAACTCCTCCTACATTTTTCACAGTAGGTTAATCATCCTTTGGGAGGTGGTTGGGGGTGTCATGTAGATGTGCAGTAAGGTTTCGGAATTTTGATTTTGCCCTGGGGGATCAAATGGGGGTCGAAAAATGACGTTTTTTTTATACAAAAAGCCCCTTCTTCCCTGAACTCCTCCTACATTTTTCACAGTAGGTTAATCATCCTTTGGGAGATGGTTGGGGGTGTCATGTAGATGTGCAGTAAGGTTTCGGAATTTTGATTTTGCCCTGGGGGATCAAATGGGGGTCGAAAAATGACGTTTTTTTATACAAAAAGCCCCTTCTTCCCCGAACTCCTCCTACATTTTTCACAGTAGGTTAATCATCCTTTGGGAGATGGTTGGGGGTGTCATGTAGATGTGCAGTAAGGTTTCGGAATTTTGATTTTGCCCTGGGGGATCAAATGGGGGTCGAAAAATGACGTTTTTTATACAAAAAGCCCCTTCTTCCCTGAACTCCTCCTACATTTTTTACAGTAGGTTAATCATCCTTTGGGAGATGGTTGGGGGTGTCATGTAGATGTGCAGTAAGGTTTCGGAATTTTGATTTTGCCCTGGGGGATCAAATGGGGGTCGAAAAATGACGTTTTTTATACAAAAAGCCCCTTCTTCCCTGAACTCCTCCTACATTTTTTACAGTAGCTTAATCATCCTTTGAGAGATGGTTGGGGATGTCATGTAGATGTGCAGTAAGGTTTCGGAATTTTGATTCTGCCCCGGGGGATCAAATGGGGGTAGAAAAATGACATTTTTTATACAAAAAGCCCCTTCTTCCCTGAACTCCTCCTACATTTTTCACAGTAGCTTAATCATCCTTTGGGGAGATAGTTGGGGGTGTCATGTAGATGTGCAGTAAGGTTTCAGAATTTTGACATTTTACTCAGCAGCCTAATCATCTTTATGGAGATGGTTGGTGGGGTCATGTAGATATGCAGTAAGGTTTTGGAATTTAGATTTTGCCTGGGGGGGTCAAATGTGGGTCGGAAAATGACGTTTTTGGTGTAAAAAGCCCTGTGAGACTTACATAAAGTCTTCCTTAATGTTACTCAGAAGCCTAATAATCTTTTAGGAGGGTTAAATATTTTGAAAATTATGTAAAACATCAACGTCAAGGGGTAACAAGATGTGTTTGTGAAATACCATGCGCCCGGTGTCAACAAAGTACGAAAAAAGATTTTTTTAGCATATAGGTCACAGTCAAGGTCACAAGGTCATTGACCTTGGTGTTGTTTGTAAGAACTTAATTAGTGGGGTATGCATACTAAATATGAAGTTGTTATCTCCAATGGTTCAAAAGTTGTGACAAAAAGTAGAAAAAGCTATTTTTAGTATAAAGGGAGCTTTAGCTCGAGACGACATCTAGTCATCAGTCAGCTACTGAAAGCGTTTGGTAAACCTTGGCTGACTACGCTACCCTTTCTATGAAGCCACCCGATGAAACCCGAATGGATTTTTACGCGATCGAATGTGTCCGATTGTTGATGCTTCCGCAGAATAAACCCGCGCTTTTCAATGATTTTGTTCAGATTTGTTCATTTATTTTATTTGGTTTATTTGTCAGATCTTACATGATAGAGGTAACATATTCACCATTTGTTGTCCTGCTTTCATTTTGGAGGTACCAATACCAACTGGTTTGTTGTTCAGTGCTTTCATGATGGTGGAACCATAAGTTAGTATAAAGGTCACAGTTAAGGTCACATGGTCATTGACCTTGGTGTTGATTGAAAGAACTTTATAAGTGGAGTATGCATACTAAATATGAAGTCCCTATCTCTTATGGTTCAAAAGTTATGGCAAAAAGTGGAAAAAACTATTTTTAGCATATAGGTCACAGTCAAGGTCACAAGGTCATTGACCTTCATGTCATTTGAAGGAACTTTATCAGTGCAGTATGCATACCAAATATGAAGTCTCTATCTCTTACGGTTCAAAAGTTTTTGCCAAGGTTAAACTTGACAACAGACAAACAGATAAACAGACAAACAGACAGGACAAAAACAATATGCGCCCCAAAAAAATTTGGGCGCATAAAAAAAACATTGCATGCTGGGGAACACCTTGAATTCTTATGAGTAATTTATGTACATCTCAAATGTGAGAGTCATATCTCATCTCAATCAAAAGTTATAAGGAAATGCAACATTTTTGAAAAGTAGGCTAGGCTTGATCGCTTCAAGGTCAAGGTCACAGTGTAAAAGTATTAGGAAAGGTCTTATCACAGGTAATAATAAACATGCATTATGATATGAATGCCCTATAACTTTTCTCTTTCAAAATGATGAATTTATAACAACATAATTTTTTTGCAAGTTGGTCAAACTTCTAGGTCACAAATAAAAAAAAAACCATGCCATTCTCACAGGTAAATATACTAATAATAAGTTTAATAAGAATGTCTCTTCTCATTCAGTAGATATGACCGTGATAACCAAGATTAAATTTTTTGAGACAAATGGACTGAGTCTGACATACAAATGTACATATTTCTATATGAATTGGGTAAAATTGGCCCAGTGGTTCTAGAGAAGTTAAAAATGTAAAAAGTTTTCAGACAAACAGATGGACAACACATCACGACAGACATTATATGCGAAGGAAACAACAAAAGCTCAAATGAGTGTTTTGAAAGGGTTACAATATGGTTGGAGTTTTTGAAAAGCTGTTTTTTTTCCTGCAGAGATATGCATGACCAACATATTTATGTTTTATATTTTCTTTAGTAATTTGTTTGTTTGTTGTGAATACATCTTCCCTCATATGGAGACACCACCAAATAATAATGAAGATAAGATGTGTTTGTGAAACACTGATGTCCCAGTATGGAAGCCTTAATGGCGATGGTTGAAGTTTCTCAAATATATGTCAAACTCAAAGGTCAAGGGTTCAAATCATTAGTATCAGAAGAAAGTCTTGTCACAAGGAATACACATGTTAGATAAAGAAATCTCTAGTAATTCCTGTTCAAAAGTTAATTGCCAAGGTTAATTTTTTTTTAAGTGGTTCAAACTCTAGGGTCAAGGTCAAACATATTTATTCCTGTTGACAGTTCAAAATGAATACAATATGTCATGATATTTTAGTATGAAAGCCCTAGCACCTACTGATCAAAAATTAGGCAGAGTTTAAAGTTTGGTATTTTTCTGGTAAAAATGTGTATCACATGTCAAGCGATCAGAGGTAAAAATTAATGGTACCCAAATAAAAGGTCTTATTAAATTGTCACAAGAAATAAACCTATAAAATTTGGAAGCTATATGTATAGCCCATCCCACTTAAAACTTATGGGCAAGCTAGCTAGGATTTTAATTTTTGCAGACTTATAGACAGACATACTATAAACACAAGAAACAAAATATGTATAATAATTAGTCAAATGGAAAAAAAATATACTATTAAACTGGAATCACAAAATAGATTGTTATTTCAGGGACAGGAAGTGGGTAGGAAGATTGGAATCCCCCCCCATCTGGCATTCGCTTTGTTTTTTAAACAAGACTATATACTGTAGCAAGTAAAAAATGACTCTTGACATCCTTTCCCTATAAACTTTGAAAACATTGTCCTCACTATCATTGTTTTTTATTTGTTTAATTGTTTTCATTTTTTTTCTCCTGCTTGTCACGAAATTCTGGGCTGGAATTTTTTGACTGGGATGTGAACCCCCCTACTCCCGAAAAAAATTCTGGATCCGCACCAGTAGTATTGGCAGTCACATCGACAACGGGAGATAACTTCACAATATAAAATTCGTCTAGTGTGGCATATGGGATGATCTTTGACCCTTTTTAAACTTTAACCTACTCGTTGACTTCTACTTACCGACTCCCTGTGTCTCGTAAACTTCATGAAATATAAATCCAATTATAACACAAAATGAATTAATCCAATGTACACCAGACTGCAACCATGTGCCAAAATGAACTTTCGTCGATTCCGTCACCTTATCAGATGAAGTGGGAATCGGCCGAGGTGTGCCAAATGTTGTTTAGTCTATAAATATCATAATGGGTGACGCAACGTGATGTAATGTAGAAATTTACATGTTCACATGTATAGTACAAGAACATATTTTAAATGAATTCATTACAAACGATTTTAAATTTTAACAAACCTTTTCCATCTAGCCTATTCCAAAAAGTATGTGCTGTGTGATTGTGGTGTCGAGAGGGAGGGGGGGGGGGTAGTAAATTTAAAAAGGTCCTATTATAAGCAAAACATATATGAAAATCTAATTTCAGACGCGGATCCAGAATTTTTTTTCCGGGGGGGGGGGGGGGGGGGGTCCACCTCAGTCGAAAAAATCCTATCCCAGAAATTGACAACCAAAAAAAAACCTAAAGTAAATCTCACTCAAACGTCAAAAAACCTATATCGTGGAGGTAGGGTGGGGGTAGTGGTGACTTCTATTGCCGCAAATGTTTAACTTTTCATACCTTCTTTACACATATTCGTGTTTACCAGGGGGGGGGGGGGGGTCTGCATTATCCAA